TTTTGTTGCCCTTTCTTGAATGCCTCCTCCAGCTTTTGCTGTGGCTTCAACTCTTACTCCTGGAATAGGAGCCAGACTTGGATAGGGATCTGCTTTAGAATGATTGTTGTTACTATTGCCACTATAGCTTCTGCTTTTATGAGAGAGTTTGAGAGTGAGACCTTGAGTGCCTTTTGAAATATAAATGTTGCTGTCCAGAACTAAGAATGGCTTCAACTAGTCTAATTATTCTGCCATTTATTTTGGTTCCATCCAGCTCTTCAGGAGTGCTTTTCATATCAGAATAGGACACAAAGTTAATTACACCTTCATTTTTGTGCCCTTTATGAGCATCTCAAATGTCACTTCTAATGCATATAATTTTAAAATATTTTTAAAGTTTTATTGGTTTTGTTTTTACATTAGAAATATTTAAATTACCCCTCTACTTCATGAGCAATCTTTTGTAATAAAGAAATTAAGCAAAACTGACAATAACAGTGACCTCTTCTGAAAGTGCCTGTAACATTCCACATTTTAGCACCCTCCCACCTGTTTATTCAAAAGATAAGTCTGTTTTCTCTACCTTCTATCACTAACTCCATTGAAAAAGAAAAAGAAATTCCTTGTAATAGATATGTAGTCACTATATATGTATATGTATGTGTGTATGTATATATACATATATACATGTATATACACGCACACATATACACACACAGACATATATGCATATATTACATACATATGTACATACACACACATACATATATATAGTGAACCATAAATCTGTCACCTCTCTATCAGTTGGTGGATAGTGTGTCTCATCAGCAATCTTTTGGAATCATCCTTTGGATGGTCAATGCATTGCTCATGGTTCTTAATTATTATGCCTGTCCTAGAAGCAGACTCCCTAGTCTCTTCCATGTAGCAAAGAGCATCAGAGGCTGTCTGAACATGGATCAGATCCTATTAGATTTATAAGGAGCTTACATTCTACTAGAGAAGACAACATATACGCAAATACATAATTGCAAAAATAATCTGAAGAGAGGGCAGCTAGGTGGCACATTGGATAGAGGTGTGCTGAACCTGGTGTCAAGAAGACCTGAGTTCAAATGGGGCCTCAGACACTTACTAGCTGTGTGACCCTGGGCAAGTCACTTAATCCTTTTTCTTCCTATTCATCATATGTAAAATGAGCTGGAGAAGGAAATGGCAAACCACTCCAGTATATTTGCCAAGAAAGCCCCAAAGAGGGTCACAAAGAGTCAGATATGACTGAAAAACTGAACAACAACAACAGTCTGAAGAGGGAGAGGGAAGGCTTCACAGAGGAGGAATCACTTGAGTTGGTGCTTAAAGAAATACATGAATTCTACTAGGCATCAATGAGAAGGGAGCATATTCCAGGGATGGCTTTGTATCAGGCAATGTAAAAGCAAGGAAGGGAGAGATGAAATGCTGAGTTCAGAGAATAGCAAACAGGCTGAGTTGGCTAGAATGTAGAGTGAATGAAAGGGAATAATGTGCAGTGTCCTAGAGAAATCAAGTGTGAACAGTTGGAAAGGTGGGGCTAAAGAATTAACTACTGAAAGGATGTGTTAGGTGTGGCAATTTCTGCCTTGTAACAAGACCTGGTCTAGTACTGAGAAGCCTGTCATTGGTTCTTGTTCTAAAGCTTCTTTTGAAGGCAGGTTTTGCCTTTATTTCAAGATTCCCTTCTTTCCAATATAGTATCTCTATTCCTGCTGTCCTGATTCTTTGCTTTGCTCTAACCCACTGCCCCACTGTCTGCATTAATCCTGGCTCCTTATTGCTTGTCACGGCTCCCCAGGAATTTCCCTTCCATGGACCTTGTCTCTTAACCCATTCTACACTTCATCCCAAATTTTTGCCTTAGTTATCCTAACTTTATATTCCATTTCTCTTTGTATTTCCATTAGTATTTCCTTGATCCTGTGGCCTGGTAGGATAGGTAGAATACCTCATTTTATCACATTCTCTGCCTGTCTTAGTATCTTTTTACTACAGGGTTGTGACTTTAGTGTTACGTGATAGGAGGAGTTTTAGAAGTAGTAAGGTGTGGAAGCATATTTGTGGTTGTTTAGTTGTGTCTGACTCTTCATGACCCCATTTGGGGTTTTCTTGGCAATGATACTGGAATGGTTTGCCATTTCTTTCTCCAACTCATTTTATAGATCAGGAACTGAGGCAAATAGTATTAAGTGACTTGCCTAGGATCACAGAACTAGTAAGTGTCTGAAGACAGATTTGAACTCAGGTCTTCCTGACTCTAGGCCCAGCACTTTATCCACCGTCCATCTTGTTCCCAGTCTTTTTGAGTATGAGGACTCCGTTTTAATATTTAAAATGTGGATGTGTCTGTTATAGGAATGGTATAATTTTGATATATATATTGTTTGAGAAAATACTTAATAACAATCAATTCGGTAGGTAAGCAAGCAATAAATATTTACTAAGGCCTAATGCCGGGCAATTCCATAAGGTGACTAGGTGGTACAGGGAATCAAGCATTAGACTTAGAATCTTGAAGAACCTGTGTTCAAAAGCCTGATTCCAGGCAAGACATTTGCACTCTCAACCTCATTTTCCTCATCTGTAAAAAGGGGTTAATAATAACACTTATCTCCCACATTTGTTGTGATGATCAAATGAGATAATAGATTTGAAGAAGTATGTAAAAATTAAAATTTTACATAACACTAGTTACTGTATTAAATGAGTTTAATTTATTTTATTAAGCACAACAGCATCTACAAAAATGTGAAAATCATAACACATATGTGTGACATTATTACTTTAACCTAAAGAAGGTTGGTTTGCTTATTTGTTATATTGACTCATGCTGCTTATTCTTTTAAAGCTGTGTAAAAATCAATGGGATAGAGGACCTGTGTTCAAACCTGGCCTCAGATACCTAACACTTACTAGCTGTGTTACCCTGGGCAAGTCACTTAACCCCTATTGCCTCACCAAAAAAAAAAAAACAATCAACAGGATATTGGCTTTGAATATGTATTCACAGAACCCTTGTAATAGTTCTGAAACCTACCAAGAGTCACAGGGTCACAGCTTTAGAACTCAAACAAAATGAGTTCCCTCATTTTGTAAGGCAACTGAGGAAACTGGGACTTAGAGAGATTAAATAACCTAAGGTCATTTAATTTCAAGGTCACATAGCTAGTAAGTGACAAATTACAGTATTCAAACCCAGAAGTTCTGAGTCAAAATCCTGCACTGTTTCCACTGTACCATGTTCCTAGGTTTCAGATCCAAGAAGGCCATATATTTGCAGGGGTTCTGAGAAGAGCATAGAATTTAAATCTTTGCATCAAATGAGAATAACAGTTCACGTTAAAAAGCATTCTAGGTTACTGAAAACTTTTACTTTCTTAGGCTAATTAAAAATCATACTTTAAATCAGATGATCTAAAATCATATAGCCATTGTTATTAAAATATTAGATTTACTCTCTATCCTTCAATTAAATAAAAACCTTAAAATTGAGGTATAGATTCATGAAAACACATTCTAATTCACATTTTAATACAATATGCATGTAGAAGAATAGTTTCAAAACACTCCAGGATATGTATTAATGGTCCATTAATGTACTTCTCAGGAGATGGAAGTCATTTGGACTCCAATATTTCATAGCTTATGGTACACCTGAGGCTTAGATTAATGTCCCATTATTATATGCCATTTTCTGTCAAGGCAATTCAGCAATTCATTTAATCAGACTTGTTGCTCATGAAGGACAAAGTTGGATGACTACAAAATCACTCCAAGATGCTTGGGCAGATGATGATTGGAAATATTTAGTTTTACTAAGGCGCACTAAAGACTCTGGGATAGTGATAGCCACTGTGAGTTTTGGGGTTCAGGAAGAAGCAATTGCAGAAGAAAAAACTGCTATTGGCCCAGGATACTTTCTTTGCCCTTACACAGACAAAATCTCCTAGAAAGAAGATATATGCTGGGAAGGTTTGTTTGGCTTCACCATAGAAGTTGGAAAGTTTCCTAGGTTACCATTCCAGTAACTTGGGGAAGTGACTGGCACACAGGGATAAACCTGTGATTTCATTAGTGAACTTCTGGGGTAAGAAACTTTGATCAATGAAGCTCGAAACCTTCTCTGCACCAGATAGTCTTAGAGGAGTGGCCTGGAGCACTGAGGGATTACATGTCTCGCCCAGGGTCACATGGAAGTATGTGAAGAAGTGGAACTTGTCCCAGGTCCTCTTGGCTTTGAGGCCAACTCTATATTCACTCTGCTATGCTACCTCTCATACATAGAGAATGATAACTATTAAGCACCTACCATGTGTCATTATCTCATAGTATGTACCTAACAAGTGCTTGTTGATTTATTGGTAAAATGCTGACAAGATGGGCACATAAATCCTCAGTTCCACCAAAATATTGTCCAAATTAGACAAAGACCTAGTTTGAGTTGAGAAAAGCATGAAAAGCACAGAAGTCCTTGTCCCATGATGAAATTTTCCTTCTTTTAGGGTAGAGCTAAAAAATTAACCATATAAATGGTGTTTTATGTTTATTTATTTTTTCTTTTTGCTTTATAACATGCTTTCAAAATTACATTTGAAAACTTCAGGAAGCTCTAGGTCTCATTATTCTAGCTATACTGAAAACTTTCAACATCTGTTGCTTTTCACCTTGTATTCTTAAAAAATTCTGAACAACCTGAGCTCACTCACTGAACAATTTGAATAATCTTATGCAGGTTCAAATGAATAGAAGTTAAGGCTCACTTTATGATATTGTTTACACCCAAAGAATTGAATCAGTTTCAGAATTTCATAGAAATAGGCATGAAAATAATTGGCTTTTGTGACTCACCTTTTTCAAAGGAATACTTGTGCACTATGCAGTGTTGTTACATCCTGGTCATGTTGCTAGCTGGCTTCTTTCCTTCTTTTTTTGGCATGGACTGGTCAAGTGACAAAATTAGAAAGTTATAAATACTCCTGGATCCTCTCCCCACCCAGCAGAACTTTTTTGTTCCTCAGGTTGGTTATATCTGTTGGAAAACTTTTCGACCCCAAGTAATACAAAGGTAGGTGCTTGATAATGTAATAAGTAGATATAAACATGAATAACATCTATATTAGTAACTACAATTTGTAAGAGTTTGCATATTTTAAAAAAACTTCTTGACTTTAGTGAAATCAATTCCTATGCTTCATAGGAAGGCACTTCGGTGCCTTTGAAAGCTAATGTTATTAAATTTTAAGTTCCCTGAACCATAAACTGTTAAAAGATTTATCACTCTGTTGGTCCTAATTTTTAGTTTACATAATTCATAAATACTTTTATACACATTACTAATAAAAAATCTTGATTTGCTAAAATTAACACACATAAATCTGCTTCACCTAATTTTGAAAAATCTTTTTTTTTTCCCCTTAGCTAAACCAAGTTGATATATAGGACGATTGTTACTTTGAATGTTGCTGATTAATGAACAAGTTGATTTTCAATATTGAGGCAGTTTCTGGGATATAATTTGAAATTTGTTAAATGCAGTGCTATGTGGAAGACTGTAATTACATGAATTACTCAGTGATTTCTAAAATGATCATATCTTGTTTAAAAGAAAAAAAATCAGGTTTTTAAAAGAAACCAATTTTTTTAAAAAAATTATAGATATTAATGTGGTTTGTTCCAAATTGTAATTAGTTGAGTTCTCCTCATGGCCTAGGAGAGTAGAAGTACTATACTGCAGCATGCTGATGGAAAAACAAACAAACGAACAAACCACATTCCTTTCCTCTTCCATTTTAGATTCTGACCTAAGATTATCCCATTTTCAGGCAGAATGTCACATACAATCCCAGAGCTTCAGTAGGCAGTGCAGTTTCACACCTTACTTCCCAGAGGATTTGGGGAAATCGACATTTGGAAGGAATCTAGGGGGATGCAATGTGCAAATAGAAGAATTGTTAATGTGGTCTACGGGGCTGGCTTAATGTGGAGGTGGGGTAGGTACCTACCCACATATAGGATATGATGTCTAGAGTTTAAAGCCCCATTATCAAAAAATAAGTAACCTGTCTCCTTGCTAATTTGCTGATATTTCTTTATCAACAATTAAACAAACAAAATTCCACAGAGACGTAATTTAAAAAATAAATATCCTCTGCAAGAGATAATAAATTTCACATTAAGGTATAAGTGACTAATATTTTCTTGGAGCAGATTTTGATAAGATGGAGAGAACATGACACTGGGAAGCTGGGATAGGTAAGAAGGCCAAAGACGGGGAAATGGAATCTGGGAACCTGAACTACATACTTTCCTTCTTTTACAAGATTGGCATCTTGTAAGTGACATTCAAATGTACCTTTCTAATACCTCTTTCAAAATGTTAAACTTTTCTCTAAAGACTTACTTATCAACAGTAAGCTAGCTAGTTGTGCCACCTAAAATTCTTCCCCACCTCAAACCAAGACCAAGTTTTCTTCATTCTTACTTTTCACCATTAGTAAAATCTTTTTTTTTTTTTGTAATTTTCAGAATGTCAACTATGGGAGAATTTGACTCAGACTTTTACCAGTCTAATTATATTATTGATAATCAAGAACAAGGTTATGGTGGTGCTGATGTTTATGGAAATCCATATGAACTCAGAGAGTAAGTACACTATATATGTATCAGTGGAATTCCCTTTCACTAACGAGTTCACATTTTGATATTATAAAGGTATTAACTTTGATCAAAACATGAGGACCGATCTTAGTCTCTAGAGCTGGCAGAGACTTTATTGATCATCTGATCTGGGAGTTCTTAAGCTGAGCTCTGTTAATTTTTTTTAAATTAATAATTACATATTAATACAATTGGTTTCCTTTGTAACCCTCTGTATCTTATTGTATGCATTTAAAATATTATGCTGAGAAATTATCAGTTTTCCAAATGTGTTTATGAAATAGAAAAGGTTGGGGGCAGCTAGGTGCTGCAGTGGATAGAGTACCGGCCCTGGATTCAGGAGGACCTGAGTTCAAATCTGGCCTCAGACACATAACACTTACTAGCTGTGTGACCCTGGGCAAGTCACTTAACCCCATTGCCTAGTTAAAAAAAAAAAGAAAGAAGAAAAGAAATAGAAAAGGTTAAGGATCTCATTTTAAAGACATTGAAACAGAAGCCCAGAGTGACTTGCTCTGAAGTAGCAGAGTCAGGATGCAAACTCAGGGCCTTGGACTCCAGTTTTCTGTTATGCCATGCTCCTTCTAGGCCTGGTTTCTCTGAGTATTTTCATGTAGGAAGAGACAGTATTTCCTTACTTTGCATAAGTACAAGGTCTCAAAGTAAATATACCCTTTGGTCTCAGGGCCCCTTAAAACCCTCAAAAATTATTGAGGACCACAAAGCACTTTTGTTTACATGGGTTAGCTCTATTAATATTTACTATATTAGAAATTAAAACTGACAAATTTTAAAATATTAAATTTGACATAATAATACACTAATTAGGTATTAGTATAGTGTATTTTTTATGAAAAATAACTTTTCCAAACAAAAAAAATTAATGGGAAGTGTGATATTGTTTTATACAATTTCATAAATTTCTTTTATGTATGAATTAATGGAAGACAGCTGAATTCTCATTCTGCTTCTGCATTCAATCTGTGTGATGCATTATTTTGGTTGAACTATGAAGAAAATCTGGCCTCACAAAGATATGTAATTGGAAAAGGAAGGAGTATTTTAATAGGCAAATACTAGTATTACTATGGAAATAGTTTTGGCCTCATAGATCCTCTGAAAGTAGGGGACCTCCAGAGGTACAAAGACCATACTTTCAGAACTACTATACTACTAGCATATCAGGGGACTATAGAGAAATTGTTTTCAATAGCAGCTCTTTAGCGACTCTTCTTAAACATACCATGTGGTCTATAGGTATACCCCATTTAAATGTAAACAGCTGGCTTCCCTTCATATTATTTCATTTGAGAACTGAGCATTGGAGAATCAGGCACTGGGGTATTAGGCATCTCGGAAGAAGGAGGTTTTGTTTTGCTTTGTTTTATTTTCCCTGTTCGTCCATACCCAGGAAAGCATTTATCAAAAACTGCCTCAGAAATATAGGATATGTAGGATACTATAACTTCAAACTGGCCTTAATTAAAAGAAAAATTAGATGCATAATAATAATAACAAACTGACATTTATGTAGTATTTAAAGTTTGCAGATCATTTTTCAAACATTTCTCATTTAAACTATACAGCACCTCTGCTTTTTGGTCATCTTAATAATTGCAAAAAAACCTCAAAACAAATATAAAGTTAATAAGAAGTAGCATGATAATATCTGTTCCAGAGGATAAAGAGGTACAAAGAACTTGAAACAAACTTCCTCTTTAAATCTACATAATCTTTCCTCCTTTGTAAACTCTATATAAAAATAGGAATGGGAAAAGTGGTGAAAAATATGGAAAACATAAATAAGAAAAGTCAGTGCTTTGTAGACTATACTGAAGCCTGACATTTACATATCATAGGATGCTATCATCAAGAAGAGAGTTTGGGACATGAAAATCACCAACTGATATCTCAAAAATGAAATTGTTTATATTTTTATTTATAAAAATCATTGCTTACGGATGTGGGAGTTGTTTCAGAATCAGTTGTTTTTGTAGAGCCACATCACAAACTTGGAACACAGAACATCACTTGCAAAAATACAAATGAGAAGATATGAGATGCTACTGAGGCAACTGTAACCTGACCTGTTTAAACAAATTATTAAGAGGCCAATAAATAGGAAGTGCATAAAAATCCTCAATGAAGAGAGACTGACAATTTCTGAAGGAATTTTAATTTATAAATTAGTCACCAAAATGAGGAGACAAAAAGAAACTAGAAGCAACCTCAGCTAACAAGTGCTAAATCTTTTTGCCAATATCTGAAGAGAAATATGTTGTTCAAGGTGAACATGGGTTTAGAATGAATACCCTCTTGTAAAGTGTAATGAAAGACGGTGGTAGAAAATTGTAAGTGGCATCAACTCATTAAAAAAGCAAGAAGCAGAGGAGGTGAAAACAAGCTTGTATAAATCTTGATCAGAAACTAACAGAAATGAGAGTATTTAAATATGAAACTGGACAGAGAATAAGGAATGGAAACAAAAAGGAAAACACCAGTAAAGATTTCTATAAGAAACTCTCTTTTTCAATCTAATATCATTGATATGATGCACAAGGGAGTAGACATGACACTAAAAGAAAATGTCTTTCAAGTACATAGAGAGGAAATTTGGGATGGAGATATCACAATTTGAAGCCCCTGGAGGGGTGTCAATTCTTAAGCTAGTGAAAGGAAGGAAGATAGCAAATATATATAGAAAAAACCAGGCATTTTCATCTCTATAAAATCCTTAAAATGCACACAAACCAAAGATATCCTTGATGAAGGGATGAAAAGGGAACAGGTAAACTTGCATAAATGACAGCCTACACTAGAGAAGATCTTTACAGTCACACAATTGAAAGGTGCAGAAATTATATGATCCAACTATGTTTATTTTTTGTAAAAAATATTATTTAATATTCAAGTATTATTTTTAATCAAACTAGGTAGCAGGTTCTGCAATTAAGTCAAATTTCCCCTTTTCTTTCTATAAACAAAGTTAAACTTTGTTTTTTTTTCTTTTCTTTGTTCTCTTGTGATGGGTGAATAATCCTTTTAAATTCCAACTGAAGTAGCTTGATAAATGATACTTTTCCTATTCTTCACTTATAAATTTCTCTCTATCAATGAAGCTTTGGAGTATGATGCCAATCTCTGTGGATGAATTGAATTTGACATTTCTCCCTGGAGGTGTCTGGTGAAGTGTAGCAATTTTCAGTCTGTCTTTTGACAGACTACTTCTGGGAAATTTTCTTGAGTAGTTAACTGAAAAATGATCCCCAGAATACCTCTTTCTTTGAATTTTTCAGGTATTCTTATGACTCAGATCATCTATCTGGCTCCTTTCTTCTGGTTCTATAATCTTGCAACGTTTTTAAGCCTTTTGCTAACTGTTGTCCTTTGATCCTGTTCTGTGGTATGTTCTGCCCCTTCTGAAAACTCGTCTTCCAGTCAGAGAATTTTATTTCCACTGATTCAGTTCCTTTCTCTTTCTTCAGACATTCCACTACTTTTTCTATACCGATGTCTTTTTTTCTTTCACACCGATTTCTCTTGTTCCATTTTTTTCGAAAGACCTTATTACAGATGCTAGCTACTTCTTTACTGACACCAAAGCCTCAATAATTTTCTTTAAAAGGTTTATAATTTAATTTGGTATATCTTGTGCTACATCTTTGTTTCTTGGATCATTAATCCATAATATTTATTTGTTGTTTTTGAAGGTTTTTCCCCCCTCCAACTGTGTCTTTACTTCCTGGTCTTTTCCTTATCAGAATCTAGCCTATTTTAATGTTTTATAGTTGTTCCTCTGCCCTTTCCTCTCTCTATTTTTATTTGTTTTATTTGGGATCAGGTTTTTTTTTTCTTTTATGACCTCTCAACTCTGCCACCTGGTCAAAATTCTGGGTATATACTTAAATAGGAAAAACTTTGTAGAAGACCATAGTAATCACTGCTTCTTTTTAGCAGCAAGAAATACTCTGACCTAAAAAAATCTTTTACATAAATAGATATATAGGTAGATATAGATATACTTAATAATATGTTGAGGAAATTTACATTACAGATCTGGGTTTATTGTTGTAGTAAAATATATAAATGGGCTACCCATCAATTTTTCTTTTCACTTTTAGGAGCTCACTGACTGTCATGTAGTACGTCCCAGAGTGAGGACTTGATTAGATCCAGACATTAAAGGATTTTTCCACTCTTCTTGTATCTTTTACCTACAAGACATGTTTACCTCTAGAATCTCCAGACTTCAGAGGAACCGAAATCCTCCAAAGGCTGGTGTAGGAACTTTACTCTCTCTCATTATTTCCTTGGATTTATCATTTGCCTTCCTTCTAAGTCTTTGTTCTGACCATTCCTAAAGAATTTTCATTTTTAATAAAAAACAAAAATCTGAATAAAAAAAATAGACTCACTAGAGAATTTTCTAATAGAGATTCATACTCCTAGTTATGATAATGAACACAGGAAACTAAAATATAAATAGAAGTTATTGAGGTATCAAGATGGCTAAAAAGCTATTTGTTTTACTTATATAAATTACAGAAAAAAATTATCTTTCAGATTTGCTATGTGGCTTTCAGCAAACGACCTAACCTCTTTCTAACTTAGTTTCCTCACATAAAAGAATAATATTTTCCACTTACTTGCTAGTGGATTGCTGAATAAGTATTTTTTTCATTTGAATATATGCTTTGAACTATTTTGGTTACATATTATATAATACATACAAGCTTTATTCCATTATGTAGAGGTAGCATCATGTGATGGATAGTCAGGAAGATATGAGTTCCAGTATTTCCTCTGGCACACACTAGCTATGTGGGGCTCCTTGGCTCCTTGGGACCCTCAGCAATTTGCTAAAATCCTAAACTACAGAGGAGGTGCAGACTGGACATTTGTGGGAGAAATTTCCACAATAGGAGTTCCCCATATCAAGGAAATCACAGGTATGGATTCTACTTGTTTGAAAAAAAAAAAAGGAAATGTAAGAAAGTACAGATTTAAGTGCAACTTGTGTGTAGAGAATCATTCATTTGCAGACCGATACTTAAGAAACTAGAGGAATCAAAAGACTAAGAAATTTTTGATCACGAGTGAAATGAGTTGTCTAGGTATTAGGACTCCTTGAGATTAGGGACCATGAATTATACTTTCTTTTTCTTGGTAAAGCTTCCCCACCCAGCTTCTAGCACAGTACAATTCATTTAATATATGTTTGGTAAAGGGAGGTAAAAAAAAATATTCATTAAGTGCTTACTTTGTTGCAAGCATTGTGCTAAATGCTTCTGGTCAACCAATGATCAAATATATATGAAGTGCCTATTATGAGTAGGGTACCATATGTAGTGCTTTGGGGGCTGCAAAGAAGTATGATATGCCACTCTTATTGTTTTGAATGAATACATTTCTCATTTTTACATAAGAGAATTTTGCTCTGTCAGGCATTAATGAATAAAGAATCTAAGAGAAGTTTTCATGTTGAGCCTTGTGTATTTAACGGGCATTTACTGAGTATCTACCAGGTACAAGGCATTCTACTGGTCACTGAAAAGAATAACACCATAAGGGTTAAAAGGCAATTTCTTCAGCACTTCTATGGGTGATTGATTGAGGGGGATTTGGCACCTAAATTCAAGTATTTGAGAATACATATCAGCTCATATATCTTTTAGCTAAACTGTAAGTTTTAATTTTGATTAGATGTGATAATTTGTATTATCACACACACACACACACACACACACACACACACACACACACACACACACACATACACACACACTAGCTCTCCCCAGACAAAAGCAATTTACCAAAATACTCAAACTTCACTCTTGGCCCTCTTCCCTTCTCCCCACCTCCATCTCTGATGATTTTTTCCCTCCTCCCCCCAATCTTTTCATAAGATTGTTGGTTTTTCATTTCCATTCTTCACATAAGATATGGATAAAGCCACAAATGGGATGAGAACAGATCTCATTTGGGCAAAGCGAATCTTCATGCTTACAAATGGAAACATCTTTGAAAACATGCTATTGACATCTTTCTAGCCTTGCTATTCCAAGGTGACTCTGCCAACAGTCATTGCCATATCTGGGCTGTGGCTGAAAAGACGCTTTGCAGTCTATGTGCAGTGGTTCTTTGTGAAGTGAGTGGCATAATTTTGAAACTGAATTTTGATTTTTGAGAGACACTGAAGCATAGTGGATAGAGCTCTGGCCTTGGAGCCTGGAAGATCTGGGTTCAGGTCTAACTTCTGACCCATATTGTCTGTGTGAACTGGGTAAGTTACTGAGCCTCTCAATGCTCTAGGCAGTGCTCTAAGCCTATAAGCAGCAGAGTGGTTGATAACCTGCATGTCTGGAGGGAGTTTTTTCACATTGGAGTTCCTTATATCTATGAAATCACAGATTTAGCTCCTATTTCTATTTTTATTGATAGGGACAGTGCTGCTATTTGTAAGGCCTGTTATCATCAGCAACTTGGCTTTTTCAAATTCACAGTCTTATGAAAACCTTTACTTAAAAAGAGCTAGCCCATTCAGAACTGAAGGTAAACTGACATTTGTGTAGTTAGTACCTATAAGAACCAAATAACATCCAAAATAACTAGATGAATCTGGAAAAGAAAAAAATAAAAGCAGATTCCTTTCTTTGTTTTATCACTGTACTGATCTCACAGATGGTTTAATGGCAATATTTTTCATTCCAGGCAGCATTCAACAGAACTGCCCCACCCTTCAGCTTTGGTGCCTCCAGAGATGATTGCATCTTCAGGTTACGCCAGACAATTTTTTCAGCCTACATATAATTCGGATTATTATTCAGAGACGGCTTATGCAAACGGTTTTGATGAAGAGCCACCTTTACTAGAAGATAAGTTAAGCAAATGTTATTAATATGTTTGCATTTTAGAGAACAAATGAAATAATCACCATTTAATAAGTGCCATCAGTATGCTGCTGTCCTGAGCTTTATATGTGATTCTTCTATGGAGAAGGGCCTACAAATTTTATTGAAATCAGCAGCAACTAGATGAATGTCTTCATGGGGAATGTGAATGGCACATATTCAGATGATGATTCTAAGTGATAGTTATTCATTTGACTCAGAAAAAAAATAAACTGTTGTTAATCACTTCTCTTTTTTCAACAGCTCAACTCCTGTATAAATAATTGAACACATCAATCAATCTGTCAGTTAGCATTTATTAAGCAACTACCTTAAGTTAACTACTATGTGCTGTTATGGAACATGTATGCACAGAAAGGCAGTATTTTAAAGTTGAAAAAAAAGTCTCCCAGCTAATATAGTATTTCAGAACAATCTATTTTGCCAACTAGGGTTACATAGACTCTGAGAATCTTAGGTAGAAGGGACTTTAGAAGTTACTAGTCCAATTACCTAGCTGAAGCATGACTCCTCTGTGATACTTCATGCCCAGCTTTGTGTGAGTGTGAATGTATGTGTTTTCGTGCTATATTGTAGGGAAGAGGTTTCCTGTTATTTTGCTGCCATGGAGATATTTTCCTTGTCCCCCCTTCCCACCCCTTTTCAGAGATCTAATGGGGACTTTTATGTCAGCTACATGGCTGGTAGGGGAGAACAATGAGATTTTGGGTCTTAAGGGAAGTATATTCATGGAAAAATCTGGAGCAAAATCAGGAGACCTCTAAGTTCTCACGGTTTCCTTGGGCTTTTCACCTAGTGGGGATGGCAGAACCTGGGCATATTTTCAACACCAAAGAAATATGAAAAACATCAAATCTGTGGAAAAGGGAGAGATGCTATTCGTTTAACACAATTCAATTAATGGAATTAGACTTTTCCCATGTCAGTGGTTTCTGATGTCAAGAGGAACAGAAAAAAAAACAATCCAACAATTTGACAGAGAGAGAGAGAGAGAGAGAGAGAGAGAGAGAGAGAGAGAGAGAGGGAGAACGAGATACAGAAAACATTTTGCTTCATTGTGGTCATAACCTCTTTTCTTCTCACTTAGCTCATCTGGTCTTTAATGAAGAAACTTCATAGGTTAATCCATCTTTGCTTGACCCTTAAGAAGCAAGAAGGGTATCTGTACCTTTAAGACCTCTTCAATACCTACTTTTAAGTTATAGAGTGGGAGGTGAGGTGGATGAGTAACAGGGAGTAGGATTGTGGCTGTGGGTTCTTGGCAGATGGCTTAGTGTGGGATAGCAGAAGAAGGAGACAGAGACTAAGATTCCAGGCATGGTTTCAAATAGCAACATGTTTTTATATCTACCTCCCCTTATCTCCACCCCCCCATACTCATCACCTGTCTCCTTCCTCCCTTATCTGTAAGACTTCCATACTCAAAATTATGTTTAACACGTTACAACCCTTCTCAAACTAGATCTTGGAAACACCACTGACTTAGAGTTGGTAAGGATCTCTGAGGTCATCTAGTCCAACCCATACCTGAAAAGGTACCTATTCTTCAACATCCCTAACAAATGCTCATCTATGCTTTATTTGAAAACCTCAAGTAATGAGGAAACTGCTACCTCTTAGGGCAGCATTCTCCACTTTTGGTTAGGTTAATCATTAGGAAGCATTTCTTATGTTTAGCTTAGCATAGTGCTTGGCACATAATAGGCTTCTGTTGTCATAGTCAAGGCATCTTGGAAGTGCTCTTAAATTACTCTTTAAAAGCATTTGTTTTCATGAGGCAGCTAGCTGGTACAGTGAATAAAGTGCTAGGCTTGATGTCAGGAATACCTAAATTAAAATTCCGCTTCAGGCACTTAATAGCTAGGTGACCTTGGGCAAGTCACTTTATCTTTGTCTGTTTCAGTCTCCTAAATTGTAAAATGAGAATAACATTAGCGCTTACCTCTTGGGGTTGAAGATACAGTGTGAATATTTGTAAAGAGCTTAGCACAGTGCCTAGCACATAGTAGGCACTATATAAATGTTAGCTATCATTATTGTTATTATCACTACCTTCCGCATCGCATATAATGAGCTTGTAGATTACAATCTCCCAGATGTCTTTCAGATGAATTCCTTGTTCTTGTGAAGTGATGCTTCCTCCATCTCATATTTATGAAGGTGATTTTTTTTAAACTCAAGTGTGAGACATTTATCTTTATTAAATTTTATCTTAGTAGATTGGACCCAATCTTCTAGATCTGTCAAGATCCTTTTGGATCCAGAAGCAGGTCATCTGTGCCTTTATCCAAGGCACTGTTGCCAGTGCCAACAACACAAGACCAGCCACTGAGCCATCTCTACTGGAGGCCTCCTCCTAGATTGACATCTAACCTATAATGACTATTCTTTGGGTTAATCCATTCAATTTTTTTTTTGTCATCTAGCCTATATCTCCTCACATTTTCCACAAGGCTAGCAAGAGAGACTAATTCAAGAATTCTCCAGCCAAGGCAGAGTACAGAGTTACTGTCTTATCCCTAATCCTGAACAAAGGCTATTAGTACAGCTTCAGACTGTATTACCAGCTTTGACTGCACTCATTTTGAAATTGCATCTTACTTGAACTCCTAAGCCTTTTATTACAATAACTAGTCTAGCCATGTCTTCTCCATCCTACAAACAGCAGAATTTGTACCATTGCATTTTTGGACTCCTTTGGGATTTTACATTCACTCCTATTAAATTTCCATACATCTAAGGATTTTAAGGGAATGCAAAATCCATATGTATGCTGCATCATCAAAGAAAGGATTAATGAATGCCCATTAGTTTAAACATTAAGTATAAGCATTCAATGTATTTGGTGATTAGATTTTAGAGGGGGAAGGAAGAATTGACAAAACATATATGACATGTGTATATATTTATAATGTCTCCACTGATCTAAGCCTATTATTGTCCATAAAACCCAATTTCCTAACTATGTTGGATGACTTTACTTTCCCACGACATTTAGAATGTCTTCTTAAAATTAGTCCTAATCTCCACTAGCATTAAAATCATCAATATTACCCTGACTTAATTTTTCTTACTGCTTTCTTAACCAGTTCCCTCAAAGTCATAACCCATTTTGATCAATCAGATCAAATATGAAAAAGAAATTATCCTATTCCTTTTCTGCCCATGCCAGTTAAGAGGGAATCATGGTCCCTTCCCCTGCATCCATTGAACCATTTTATGTGACCCTTGTCCACAGTCAATTCTTCTGAGCTCCTCACTAGTTTAATGCCACCTGCTATAACATGCTTCCTCCAGGTTGGATGGAATTATGAAGGGCAGAGACCCATATTGTCTTGCAGAGCCTGAGAAAGCATGATAATTTGATAAATGGCATTTCATTCTTTTTTTTTTTTTGAGGAAAAGTCATTGTGGTATTTAAAAATATAGGACTGTGAAATGTATATACTTGTCACTCAGACCACTTTATTTTAGAAATGTGTCTGTTTATTCTGAAATGATTTATGATATAAAATACTTGGTTAACTTTGGGAAGGAATAACTTTTTCTTGATAATGAAACATCAACATGTTAACAAATGAATCTTGAGATAATAATCAATTCTCACCTGTCAGATTAGAAAATACAGTGGAACTTAATTATTTTATATTTCTAACATAGGCTAGTGTTTGTAGCTGAAAGGCCAGGGCCACAATTTACATAGAAAATAAAGATCTTAATTCATTTTTATAGCACATATATCATACACTTTACAACCACTAGATGACAGCAAAGCAATAAATTTTGAATTCACATTTCATGGCAATTTCCTCTTCTTTTTATTTTGCATAATAAGATATTGTGTTAGGGTACCTATAATTAATAAATACTTATCATAATCTCCTTTGCATATTTGGCAATAAATTTGGAAACAAAACCTCAAGGTAGCTTACTTCAGCAAAAAAAAAACCAAACAAACAAAAAAACAAACCCAACAAAAACCATCAAAACCCCAGTTCTTATAAAAGAGCTTTCAAGTCTTTTGTTAGTTCCTTGCTTTATTGGGCAAAACCAAAAGATGTGCAGAAATTAATTGTGCCATTTAACAAGTAGTTTGAAATACTTATAACATTCCATAAAATATATTTTATTTAGTTTATTTAAAGTACATTTATGCTTTTTCTTTTTTTGAGAAGAGGTGGTCATTGCATTCATTCACTTCATTCTTTCAATAAGCATTCTTATAGCACCTACTGCTCCCAAGGCCCTATCCTCAGTGCTTTGGAGTAAAACAAAGTTAATTTAACATATTAAGCAATGAAAACATATGGTTAATGAAAGCCAGTTTATAACAAAACTGCCAAGTTTGGGAATGATAAATTCCTCAGGTAGAATTAAGCTGTAAATCCTATTAATTCCTGAAATAAAAATTGAATGAGATAGTCTGTGCTGATTTAAGTATGATAGATTGCTCCTATTTACCAAAGTGTTTATGCATTAAGAAATACGTAAATATTCATCAGATGAAAAAATAATTTGTTCAATTTTATTCTCATTGTCAAGATAAAAATATGTCAGAATTTACTTTATCAGTAAAGTTAACAAACTCTTTAGCTGTACAAGGACACAAGTCCTTATGCAGATAGAAGAAGAGAAACCCTTTCAATCTCATTCAGGTTTTCTCATGTCCCTGATCAATTCCCAGAGAGAGAAATGTTTGGTCATTGCTCCAGCAATATTATTCAACTCTTATCCACATTGGCCATTAAAAGGCCTTTCTATATTCTGTGCATAGAATTTAGGTTTTAGGGATTTATGGGTATGAAGGACTATGGCAGAATTAAAAGTAGGTTCTGCTCCTTACCAAACTTCCAAACAGTGCTCCATAGCCTTGTATAGTCATGGATACAGGTACTTTTCCTGTGAAGAAGTAATTTATTCCCAGGGACAGAGAACTGTTGTGTCAGAGGCTGTGTGTCAAAGGATATCTTTTGACATATTTCTTGACTTAGAAAACCTTCTAAAATCTATTCCTGATATCCTCCAAGTATAAGAACAACTCTTATATGTAAGCATATGGTTCAAAATATTACAGAGGAAAGTTTCATTAAAAAAAAGAAAACAAAGACAATAAAATAGAACTCATTGAATGAATTACAGTTAATCCCAGAAAGCCTCAAAAAAGGAAGGTCCTCTTTACCCCTATATCCGTATCTTCCCATCTTGTTCTCTACAAGTGGGTAGAGAGACTTTAATAAAAATAATAATAATAGCTAACATTTTTATAGTTTAACATTTACAAAGCACTTTATAAAGATGATCACATTTGAACCTCATATCATCCTTTTGAGGTAGATGCTATCTTTGTTTTGCATATGAGAAAACTGAATCTGAGAGAGAGTAAATGGTTTGCTCAGGTTCAAATAGCTGCTAAGTGTTTAAAGTAGACAGCTAGGTGGCACCATAGTGCATAAAGCGCTGGGCCTGGACTCAGGAAGACTTCCTGAGTCCAAAGCTGGCCTTAGGCACTTACTACCTGTGTGACCCTGTGCAATCACTTCAATTTCCTCCTCTGTAAAATGAGTTGGAGCAGGAAATGAAAAACCATTCCAGTATCTTTGCCAAGACAACCCCAAATGGGGTTGTGAAGAGTGAGACACAACTGAAAATGAAACCTGGCCACTTTCTCTTCACCTTCAGAGCATTCTTCTCTTCTGTAGAGTTTTTTTTCAGGCCAATTGAGAAAACATTGTATCATATGATCACAGATTAGAGCTGGGAAAAAAACAAACAAAACTTTAGGGATAATCTTGTACAACTCCCTTTTTTTTTTTTTACAGTTGGGCAAACTGAAACAAAGAGATAAACCAATTTGTCCAAGGTCACACAGGTCAACAATCATTGATCTAGGACCGAAAGGGACTTCAGAGGCCATCTAGTACAAAGTTCTCATTTTCCAGATGAGGAAACTGAGGCCCAGGGAGATTAATTGATTTGCCCAAGGAAATTTAGGTAGTAAGAGTTAGAGGTGGAATTTGAACCCAGAACCTCTGTCTTTAGGACCATAATGGTTTTCTTTTTATACTACCATACCATGCTGCTAGAAGGTGGTAGAACCAAGGTTCTCTGATTTCAAATTCAGTCTTATGTCAGTTGTACCATGTTTTTCTCACAACAACCCTCTGAAGCTAATGTGCTATCCCCACTACAGAGAGAAAGAAACTAATGGTGCAGAGAGGTTATATAACTTGTCCATGAGCATATATATAGTGTGGCAAAACTGAGACTCAAACATGTCAAACTCAAAGTGCATTAAACTTTCACTATACCATGCTGCTTCAGCCAAAGGAAGAGCAGACCAACCTTTAGCAAATGCCTGTTCTTGGGTTGTGACTGTGAGTGTGGTTAAGTACATACCTCCATAGCCCACTATGATGCAGGATAAATGGAAGGAGCCACAGGGGTCAGAGGAGAGCTAGATTCTGCAGCAGCTGTCTTAGCCAGGTTGGAACTGCTTTCTTTAAGCTGAGTGAGGGGAATGGGGCATGGAGCTGCAGGATCTTTTGTTTGCCAGCATGTTTGCTGGGTTCCCTCTGGTTCTCTGTCTTATAGTGGCACTACATCTTCCTTGCAGAGCAGCAAACCATTCAGTCCTTGTCTTACCCACCATCATCCTCTCTCTGTCTCTCCTTTTTATCTCCTTTTTTCTTTCCAGTATCCATCGGTTATGAACTACTTCCTCTGGCTGTCTTTTCTCTTTCCTTTACCCATATACTCTCCCAGACTGCTATCATTCTCTTAAGTTAGCAGAAGGGCAAGGATTAAGAAAGGAAGATTCCAGTATGTATTGCATTAAAAGTTGTTCTATCAATGCCAATTATACTCCCTTCTACCCCCCAAATTCAATCATTATAGATAATACAATCTTTAAATTTAAACATCTATGGATTTACTTTTTAAAATAACTTCTGAGAAAATCATTCCTTCTGTGCCTCCCAGGTAGAATTCACTATATTCATGAAATAGTTTTTCTTAATTCTATTTCCTCATTATTCTAATGTCACTTGCAGCTGAGTGACTGGCTATTTGCTAAGTGCTGGAGCTATGTTCCCTTCCTTTCTTGAAGTTTTTCTGACCTAGCAGTTCCCTCAAGCTTCCTCTTAAAATATAATTTTATGTGATTGGAGAAAAGGTGACTGGTACGTAGAACATATCTATTTTATGTTCAGTGTACATGTTCTGTTTTTATTTTCTAATGTGGTAGCAGGTTCACCAGGGGATCTAATCTAATCCTATTTAAAAACAACAACAACAACAACAACAAAACTTTTGCAAATAGACTAGAAAACCTGGAAAAAATGCATAGCAAAATAAACCCATGTTTGCTAAGCTGTACTGATTTTAGCACTAAGAAACATTGCTTTCCTTTGGCTAATGAATCAAAGGGGAAATCTGTTTCTCTCTAGAATTTCATCCACACAGATTCAACCATGGATGTGCATTGCCCTTATAAAATCATTCCCACAAGCTATGATTGCTTTGATTTGGTGGGAGGACCATCTTGTTTCTTGTTTATTTTTTAGTTGGTTAGCATAAGAACTATATTTCTCATCAGGAAGAGGAAAATAAAAAAAAACAAATCTTACAGCCTCTCTAGGTTTTCACCTTTGGTTTGGCAATTTGCTGCTAAATTAAAAAATCATTCATTGTTGCAGATAAGATTTTGGAAGTACTAGCAATTTAATCTGTGAAAAGGAAACATTAAAATGAACAGTAGGAGAGGCTTTTTGGTTGACTAGTTAAGATTTTATTTGAGAGAAGATAATAAGTATTTTTCAAATTGCAAGTAGAAAGTAAGCTTGGACCCACTGCAAGAGCCTGCAAAATAGCTTCAGGTGAGCCTTGGTTCACTGTGTATTTGTCATAGGTGATGATCTGGATATGGCAAGAGCCTGATTTTGTTTAAATGTGTTGTCAACGAATTCTCTTTACTTCAAATAAAAAAAAAATCACTCTATTTATGTCCTCTGCAGAACTTGGAATAAATTTTGATCACATTTGGCAAAAAACGCTGACGGTGTTAAATCCTCTGAAACCAGCAGATGGCAGCATTATGAATGAAACTGACCTCACAGGCCCCATGCTTTTCTGCATAGCCCTGGGAGCAACCCTGCTTCTGGTAATGTATGGCTGCAATCAGAAGACCTTAACACTCTGACTTAAGAGGGGGAGAAAAAAAGCAAACTCTAGATTAGGAAGGAAGTATGCACTTCTTGTGGTGAAAAGTATGCACTTCACTTGAGTTTTCCTTTAGTGACAGCACAAGATTTAATCAAAGCATAATATCCATGTAAAATTACCTTCATGGGTAGCACATAGATAAGGCGTTCATTTAAATGGCTTTGTAACAGTACAAAGTGTCAAAACTACATTACAGGGAATTATAATCAATGCCTTCTAGTTCATTTCCTTATTACAAAAAGGTAGTACCTTATATTTAGATTAAAATATAGGGCTTGAAAGATTTTTTTGTAGAGATTTTAACATGATGTGTATAAGGAGCTCTTTTTCTGGTTATTTTAATTCTTCATTCACAGGGAATTCTTTTCTGGTTATTTTAATTCTTCGCTTTTTAAATCAATAACTTGACAAGAATTTCATTTTCTATTGTATGCTGGTGATAGTGAGATTCTCTGTTGTATCCTTGTGTCTATTAGTTGTTGTATTAAGACTCATCAAATGGATAATGAAAAAAAGAAATAATCTGTAAATGTTTGTATTCATTTATAAGACTGGGATTAAGAGTTTCTTCTTTTGAAAAATGTATCAGGTAAAAAAGAGAAAGGAAATGAATCCTGGAAAAATGAGGTGAGAAAAATTGCATCAGTAAATAAGTTCAAATAGAGAGGAGGATAATAAGTCTAACTTTATGATTTAATATCCTTGACCAAACTCCATGGTCATATGTAAAGATTTAAATACTATTTCAAAGAGAATATTCTTTACAATTAAATTCATCTGGAAAAAAACAAAAGAGGATCTATGGGGTTTTGAGTTTATTCAAGCTTAAAATCAGTCAACATTGTGATGACAGCCAAGAGACAATACAACACTAGGCTGCTCTAGGTGAATTATGGTATGATTAAGGATATGGGAGTACCAACATGCTTTACTGTGATCAGATCAAGCCTGTAATAGTGTGTTTGGTTCTGATTAACAAATTTTAGAAAGGACATTGATGAACTGGAAAGTGTCAAAGAGGAGCAAAGAATAATAATGAGAGGCCTCAAGTTCATAGTACACATTGATTGATTGAAGGAGCTAGAGATGTTTTACCTGAAGAAGACTTGGGCTTCCTCTTCCCCCCACAGGGAAGAAACCAGATCAATGAGGGGAAATTTCAAAGAAACATAGTTAGGCTTGAGATAAAGACAAGTTTCATAGTAATGAGAGCTGTCCAAGAGTATCGGCTGCCTCTGGTGGTGGGACATATGTATCTTTTTTTAGGTATTGATTGAATTAGATGACCTAAGAGATCCCTCACAGCTGTAAGATTCAATGCTCTAGTCCCCTAATTTTCATATGAGCAATCAGAGGTAAAGTAACTTACTTGCTGAAGGTTGAATTGTTAGCAAGTTTCAGAATAACAACAAGAAGTTAGATGTCCTTTCTCCCTGGCTTGTACTCTTTCTCTATACTTGGCTCAGACTTGAAGATATAAGAATTCTGAATCTGAAAGACAGTTCCATTAATGTAGAAAGAGAAACAAAGGGCATTCAAACTGGTAAAAGAAATTTAGAAACCAAGAAAAAATCCTCATCGAGAATTAGCAAATTTTTTTCTTTTCAAATAAAAACTGAAATTCCTAACCGAAAGATCTACTTTGCAAATGCTTATCTAACTAAAGATATTTAAAAATGTTCATTTCATAAGATTGGTCAGCCTAGTGTTATGTATCAATTGCGTAGTAATTCATTTTAGTAAAAACCACATCATATCCATTTGAACTAATAGCATTTAGTGATACCATCTCATTTTTTCCTCTCTACAGAAGCAGATGTAAATTCCCTGTAAATCAAACAGTATATCAAGTAGAGTTTTAATTTAGCTGCTGACCTCCCTTCTTCTGTCTTTGTCACAGTAATTTGATAATCTTAGATTAAGCTGCTAAGGACAGCTATGTCAATTAATCAAATAGTCAGAAACAATCAATTTAATATATTAACTAATCTGTTTTCCCCAAGTCATTTGTAATATTGCAATTGTTGGTTTTTCTGTTGAGAATATGATCTTCCTCTTTCAAGGGCAGAATTAATTCCATTAAAATATATTTTGAATTTATAATGGTACATTCTGATAGTCAAAAGTTCTTTGCTTTTAAATAAGGAGATAGAGTGGTGCAGTGGTGAAAATATTAGTGAATTAATTAATAAGAGTCAGGAGATGGGGTTCTAACTCTCGGTTTTAGTTTTGCCATCTGCAAAATAGAATCAGACTAGTGTTCTAAAGTTTCTTTCAATTCAAATATTCTATGTAATATTGCTTGATCAAGAATATTTTCTTGCATCTTTTCATATAGAGCATTAAATTAGACCATCTTAAATTTGATTCAGATTAATATTGGGTTGTTATTTCTATACTTTGGCAGATCTACAATCTCAAACCATTTTTGCACGTTTTCTCAATCTGTGTGACTATTGCTCATGTTAGTCCATAAAGCTATCCTCAGAGTCTACAAAACACTTTATCCTTCCCTGTTAATATTGGGTAGATACCAATGGAGGACACAAACTGTCCGTCCCTCTAGCTACATAACGGTACCACTTTTTTTTCCCCTCTGATCACATACATCACTTTGCCTTTAAGTCATCCACTAAGTTACTTCTCTTGTTGAATTATTATAGCCTACTCATGTCTACCATGTACCTCTTTAAAACACCTAACTTTAATTCTTTAGAGACTGTTGTATCCTATCATTTGCAGTCATTGAAGCTTCACCACAAGAATGTCGGTGTTGAAAAGATGGATTTAAAGCAATTATGAGGGCCATGAAGAGTTTTACTGTGGATCTTGAAAAGTATACTTTATTTCTGCCCCATAACACCAATGTATGTTCAAAGTGCAAGCTGGACAAAAAGTGAAAGATCTGGAAGAATTTCTGCCATCCAAGTTGTCGGGGAGAATGAAATGTCCTTGTAAGAATGAAGGAGATGATTCATAGAGAAAAGAAAGAAGATTATATAAAAAAGCTGAGGACAATTCTCACCTGCATCAGGCAGGCAGAGGGTCAAAGAATATAACACTGAATAGGAAGGGAAGAAGAAGAACCCATCACTGTTTGGAGTTATATAATAAGAATGAAACCCTTCCTGAAAAGGAGGAGTTTGGACCTTCCTAAAAAGGAGGAGAAAGAATTTATTGTGCTCTAACAAATAACGGTGTGGATCTTCAGATGGTATTAGTTAAGAGGTTAAGTAATAATGTTTAGAGAAAGAAGAGTAGTGAATTGATACTATGGTAGCTATCTGATGACCTGGGATAAGCCACAGAGAAATCTTTTTTTTTTTTAATTCCTGTTACATGTATCTGGCATGGGATAGTGATGGTGGTGGGGTGCCTTCCAAGAATCACAAAAACTTATGACAACTTTTCTTTCTAGTAATCTTTCTAGAAATTAATTGTGAGGATAGATGATACCATAAGAAGGAAACTAACAAAGATTGTTTAAAAGTATGAGTTTCTGGGGGAAAAAAACAACAAAAACCATGAAGTTGTCAGGGGTAGAGATAGTGTTTTCACTGCTATTGGTGGTTAAGATTAGGAGATTCTGAATAAAATGGCAGTTTGAAAAAAAGATATCTTAGTGTGGGATTTGAATTTCTAGACAATGGCTGAAAATATAGAAATGATGGGCGTCTTGGTTTGCATCTAACAAGGCCCAGAAAATATATTTGCCAGAATCTTATGAGTCAAATCAAGTGGACTTTAAATTAAAAAGGAAGGGGAATATGAAACTCCCATATAGATTGGACAAACCCATATACATTTACATTGAACCTACCATACACATACATAGATACAGATAAAAATAGATACACTCACCTGTATCTATCTATGAGAAACCTGATAATTCACAGAAGACAGTGTCCAAGAAAGGAGCCAGTAATAAAACTCTTGGTATCAGATACCTATAAGTATAAGCTAGAGATCCTAATGTAAAGAGGAAATTTGACCTCATAGGTATTACAGAAAATGGTGGTATGTAGCTCATGATTGGAATTTAGTTCTGTACGAATACCTTATTCAAAAGGAACAGTTCAGATGAAATTCAAAAGATTATAGGGTAGTATTAACATTAATAACATGTAGCCAGATGAGGAAGTCCAGGAAAATATGGGGCAAAGCATAGTAGAGATGACTTCAGTGAGAATCCAAGGAAATAAAAAGAAAAGTGATATTATTGGAAGACAATATTACAGAGCACATAGACAAGAAGAATTGGGTGAGGAGTTTGGGAACATCACAAACTTAGAACAGAGGCATGACATTGTAGTGACAAGTATGTCAATAACCTGGACATCCTGCTGGTGCTCTTTCTCTACTGAAGGCAAAATAGCCAATAAATCTGTGAGTTGCATTTATGATTAACCCATATTTTGAAAGGTAGTAATAAAGAAAAAGGAGGAACTGCCAGTTGGATCTGATTCTGATAGAAAAGGAACAACTTATTTAGCAATTATGAATGGCAACAATTGGGGGGGAGGGTAACAATCTATTAAAGTTTGTGATAGAGAGGAAAATCATATGTTGTCTAATGTCATGTACACCCTAGATTTTGGCACAGCTGATTTTAGAAGATTCAGAAAAGAAATCAATAGCATTTAATAGATTAATATTTTGAAAAAGAAGTCTCTCCAAAATACATAGGAAGATAATGAAATTCTGAAGACATAAGCAGATATGTTTCTGATGAAGAGAAAAAATGGGAGTTGCCTAAGATATGAATGTGGATACACAATGAACTCACTGACAAACATATTTAAAACAGATATACAGAAAATAGGAGCATAGAATGAGTACAAAAGATTAACATAGCCCTGTAAAGTCTGGTATAGAGTGCTAAAGCCTAGAATGAGCTAAGGGTGTCAATGAACACAAATATTCAAAAAATTGCTTGAGGTGTTTTTGTTTCTCTTACTGTATTAGTGTCAAATGGTTTATCAAAGAAGGGTTTTATTCATTGCTTGGGGTGGATGGAATATTGGTAATGGTGGTGATGGTGGTAGGGAAGGTGGACTCCTTTTCCACAGTGATTGCTCCTCTCAGTGATAGCCATGGGTGCTGGGCTAGATGAAGATCTGTTTTTTTGGGAGGCACTGCTATTCCCAAAACTCTTGGGTTCAAGGTCCTGGGCTGTCCCCGTCAGGATCTGAAGGGAGATGCTGGTCAAGGTGATGGTAATGGCGGTTTGACTTGCCTTGCACTTGTCCCCTGTCTTTACCTCAAGGTGCCTTGCTGCTTCAGCTAGACTGGCTTGCCTATCCTGTGTGTGACAGTGGTTTGGCAACTGGAGAAGATGGCTGGCCCCTTCTCCACAGGAGTAGTTTCTCCAGATGATGGCTGTTGGGGCTGGGCTAGAATTGGGAGTGTTGCCACTTTCAGGGTTCTGTAGTTGATGAACAGTCAGAAATGAAATGACAATTATGCAGCATCTAGCTACCTACTCTCAATAAATTCCCACCAGCAGGCTTGGATTAATATATCCTTAAGAGCTAAAGAAACCACCAAAAATGATGGCTGAGCTGCTGTTAGTGCTTTCTGAAAGGTCTTAGAAATGGAAAAGAGATTGCAGGATTAGAAAAGTACAAATGTTTTCTCTATTTTTTTTTTAAAGGGAAGAGGATGAAGATTGTTAAGTATTGTCCAGTAAGTTTAACTTTTATTCATGGAAATATTCTATAACACATTATTAAGGGGGTAGTAGGTGAGCACTTCGAAAAGGGAAGCAGTGATCACTGAAAGCTTTCATGGCTTCATCAAGAACAGGTCATGACAGACTAACTCATTTATTTTATAACAGGGTTAATGGACTTTTACATCAAGGGAGTGCTATACACATACTATACTTAAATTTCAGCAAAACATTTGACAAAGCTTCCCATGGTGATAAAAATGGGTAGATATGGGCTAGATGATTTGGCACTAATTCAGTTACTTCCTCTGGTGGACCCCAGAGGGCAAAACTAGGTCTATGTCAAGTTGGAGGGAGGTTTCTAGTATTTGCTCTAGGAATGTATCTGTGGAGCTCTCCTTGTTTAACCTTTTAAACAATGACTTGGATAAAAACACAAATGGCATCATTTTTAGATGGCAGAAGACAAAACTTGGAAGAATAACACGTTGGCTGACAGAAGCTGGATCTAAAAATATCATGACAGGAAAGAATAATGAGATGAAGTAAGACAAAATTTAGAGGGGATAAATCTAAGTTTCTATTCTTGGGATAATGCTATTTGGGGCTATTAAGAGAATCATAATGTCCAGGATGATGGTGGTAAGAGTTCTGATATATTATGTATTTCCTGCACCATCTTTTAGCGAAGGCACAGATTAGTCCTTTGGTCCATGTCCAAAAGAGGGTAACCAGGGTGGTTAGGGGACTAGCAATCAGGTGATACTAGGATTAGCTGAAGGAACTGGAGATGTTGAGTGTGAAAAAGACTCGTGAGGGATATCATTGTTGTCTTCAAGTGTTTGAAAAACTATTTTGAAAAACTATCATGTGAAAGAGGGATTAAGACTCTACTTGGCCCCAGAAAACAGACTTAGCAGCAGTGATTAGAAATTGCAGTGAGATATATTTAGACTTGATTTAAGGGAAAATATCATAACAACAAGAGCTGACCAGAAGTGGAATACATTGTTTCAGGAGATATAGTGTGTTCCACTCCCCTGGAGGCCTTCAAGCAAAGATTAGATGACCACTGGTTGGCCATATTGTAGAAAGTTAGCTACAAGTTGAACTGTATGGTTTCTGAGGTCCTTTCTAGCTCTTAGGCTCTATAAACACAGAAACCAGTTAATTTGGTCATTTTGGTATTATAAACACTAGTAGATGATTTCTGATCACGTATGAAGAAAGGGAGCCCTCACAAAACCTCTACTTTATTGAAGTATTCTGCAATGCTCTAGTAACTCCACAATGTTTTGTGCTTCAGCAAACCCCTCCCAACAACAGTCACAAAAGGCTAAGTAGAGAAATGTGCGATATTTTCTAAATAATGCTTTTTTCCAGTAGCTGAGTTCCCTAGATTCCCCAAGGACAGTCCTGTAGGAATGAGAGCCAGAAGTGAGCCAGCTTTAAAATATCCTCCCCTTTCGTTGCCATCTGAATTTCCTCTTGGTGGATTGTGTTTGCTTATGTGATTAAGTTGTGATATTTCCATTTCTTTCAGGCGGGAAAAGTTCAGTTTGGCTACGTGTATGGCATGAGTGCAATTGGGTGCCTTGGGATTCATGCTTTACTGAACTTGATGAGCACTTCAGGAGTGTCATATGGATGTGTGGCAAGCGTGCTGGGTTACTGTCTGCTCCCTATGGTCATCCTGTCCAGCTGTGCCATATTCTTCTCACTGCAGTAAGTACCTGTGTGTGCTAATTGACCCCACAAGCACAATCTCAGCTAAGACAATGGCATACCAGAGCAGCTGTTTCCTGTTTCTGAACATTTTAGTTGTGGGATTGGTAGCACTATGGTTATTAAAAAGGTTCAGAAAGAGGGAAAAGTAGGTCAGTGTTGGTCTCAGGTGCATTATCCAACTCTGTAACTTTTTTTTAAAATCCCAGTTTTTCTTTAACTTTTTTTAAAAATCCCAGTTTTTCTTTAAACCTGGCATCTTTTAAGCTGTCATCCTGTAAGCTACTGGCTCTTAATGTGAACTGGTGCCTTGGGTAGTATGATGACTACAAACAAAACATTCACTTGTTTGATTTTTTAAAAATAAGAGCTCTGTGAACATTGACAAATTGCCTGGGCTCCCAGGCAATTTTACTACCCAAGAGAAGAGCAACTCTGATCTATCTCAGCACGACTTCTTACAGTAAAGACTTCCCAGTAACACTGAAGGGGACATTGTGACTCTGTGATGAATACACTGTGGGATATATATGCTTTGTCAACTATAAAGAATGATATAAGTGGAAGGTGTTATTATTAGTACAGAGGCAGATTTTGGCTTGATATAAGGAGAAATTCTTACTCTAACATCTCATCATGAGTAGAGGTGACCATAGTAAGAGGCAGTGAAGCATAGTATGTTGTAAATTGGATTCAGAATCAGGAAAGCTTAATTCCAATACTGCATCAGATATTTACTATGATCCTTGGCAAGACACTTAACTCTGAGCCTCCATTTCTAAATCTGTAAAAATGAGACTATCGATAGCACCTACAATATCAGGGTCATCACAAGGCTCTAATGATGAATTTTTCAGCCATAGCAACTCTCAAAGACTGTCGTAGAGGGCTTGTAAGCTTTATTAGTTGAGGGAGTGGCCATATTAGGAAAAAACATAAATCCTTGAAGTTTTGAAACTCGAAGCTATATTTACTAGAAGCTAGAGTCCAAAGCCAGGCAGCAGGAAAGTCATCCTAGAAGCAGGTCTTTTGCCCATGTCAGTGGGCAGAGCCACTGTTGCCATTCCTTTCCATTGATCATCAAATGGGGTGGGATCTCAGAGTAACTTGGAAAAGGGCAAAAGAAAGAACCAAAGTTTGGTAAACTCATCATTTATTTTTGCCTTTAAAAACCTCACATATCACTGATGACATTGTTTTAAGTAAGATTAGATTAGTTGGGGACCATCCTGATTAATCTGTGGTTGAATGAACATTCAAGAATGGGAGCCCAGGGTCACTTTTTTTATACAACTTAAAGAATGTGTGTGTGTGTGTGTGTGTGTGTGTATGTGTGTGTGTGTGTGTGTGTGTGTGTGTGTGTGTGTGTGTGTTGTTCCTCAGGTATCAGGACCAAAGGCTTTATTCCTGCTTGAACCCACTGCAGTGAAACAAGAGGTGGTTGGATGGTTGGATGCCCTAAAAGCCAATCTGATATGGAATGCATTTACATGAATCTAAGCCTGCTAACTGAAGAGGCTATACTATTATATATTATGCCCTTTAAGAAGTTGGTCCAATTTTTTTCTTGTTTAGAAAAGAGTGTAACAGTAACAGAATGTTAGAGTGAGAAGACATTTAAAAATCTAGTCTAGGAGTTCTTAACCTTTTTGTGTCATGGACTTCTTTGGTAGTCTAGTGATTTCCAATACTACTGTGGTTTGTTGTCTACATTCATAATTGAAGGAAATGCTGAATTTCAGGTAGATGTTAGTAAGAAGAAAGACGTAAATTTTTTTTTCATCTCAGTTCATGAACTCTCTGAACTCTATTCATAGACCCCATGCTAAGATCCCTGCTTGGAACTCTGATTTAGTCCAAACTACTTGTTTTTCAGATGAAGATACTGAGGACTAGAGGAGTGAAGTAATTGACCATAACCTCTTAATAGGTAGACCTTAGGGACCTCTTAGCAAAACTGTCATTGGTTTATTTTTATTTTTAAAAGTTTTATTTGCTGGGGTTTTTTGTTTGTTTCAAAACCAAAGACATTTCTCCCCAACTTCTACCTCTCAACACTGAATCCTCCCTTGTAACAAGGAAAAACATTTAAGCAAAACCTGACAAAGGGACCAAGGCTGATAGATATACTAAATTTCTTTCTCTGCAGTCTCCCTTCTTTCTACTGAGAAGAGGGAGTAATATTTCAGGATCTGTTCTCAGGGTCTAAGAGAAGGCATTATAATTAATCAACGTTCAACTTCCTTTTAGTGTTATTTTCATTTGCATTATTGCTGTCATTGTATATAATAATAAAACTTTTTTTTAAAGAGGATTTGTTCTAATGTTTGATTATCATTTTAAGCGAAGTCGAGATTTAATCCAAGACTATCAAATAGCATAGATAAGTTGTAAAATATAATAGATTTTCAAAGTTTCTGAGTTTAGGATAACAATCTTGCCTTTTGTAAGTTATTGTAATTTAGTGTTTTGCTCATTAGGTTTTAGTGGTTAAATCATGAATGACTATAATGAAACAACAAACAAATCTAGTCTTTAACACCATTAAACTAGAAATACTCTCAAGTGCCCTGATTATATAACTGCACTAAACAATCAGGTATCATTCTATAATTTCATTTAGAAAATCAGTAAAATAAATTACTATAGAAATTATTCCGAATTGATGTTGATTGAACCAACATGTAATATTTATTGCAGTACTTTAAAATGTTCTTAATGGGTACAAGGTCTGAGAACATATTTGTCTGAGCAGATAACAGATTTCTCAGAATGCTTAAGCTAGCATAGAAATAGAGGGCGGCTCTGCTGCTCCCACATACTAAATAACATTCCAAGCCATCTCTTCATATCCTCAGAAAACCAAGAGAGACAAAACAGTATAGTGAATGAATGAATGACAGTCAATGATTTAATCAACATGTATTTATTAATTGCTAAGCTCTATGCTAGACACTGGGGACACATCCTGCACTCAAGAAGCTTATGTTCCACCAGAAAGGCAGGCATTTGAGCTCCCTTTCCATCTCCTGCCTCTCAACACCACACTGCTCATTGATTGTGTGACCTTGGGGCAAATCACCTTATCATTTTTGGAGTTTCAAATTGTCTCATCTGTAAAATATGTAATACTTTATTTAAAGGCCCTTGTGTTTATTGGTGTGGATACTCCTTTCCCTCATCGAGATCAAAACCCCTCCAGCACTTACTAGGTGCTTTTGAAGAGTTACCATGACTGAAAAATTAAAAACCCTGTACCCAGCCTAACGTTTTAACCTTAGTTTTTTTCAAACTTAGGCTGGTCCTTGGATACGAGGCATACAGTCCTTATCATCAGGTTTTTCACTTAAAGCCTTTCCACCTTGGTAGATCTGTGAAAGTTGCTAACTTGCTGGCATACCCCTCAAGAACTCAGGGTCACTTTTACCCTATAATGGAATAGGAATATAGCAGGAGATCTATAAAATAAAGATAATAAGTCAGTTCAGTTCAACTCAGCAAGCTTGTGTTAAATGGTTTTTGTTGTTGTTGTTGTTTTTGTAGGCAATAGGGTTAAGTGACTTGCCCAAGGTCACACAGCTAGTAAGTGTCAAGTGTCTGAGGCTGGATTTGAACTCAAATCCTCCTGACTCCAGGGCTGGTGCTTTTTCCACTGTGCCACCTAGCTGCCCCAAACAATTTTTTTTAATGAGGTAATTGGGGTTAAGTGACTTGCCCAGAGTCACACACAGCTAGTGAATGTTATGTGTCTGAGGCTGGATTTGAACCTAGGTCCTCCTGACTTCAGGGCCGGTATTCTATCCACTGAGCCACCTAGCTGCCCCCTAAATGTTTTTTATGGTCAAGAGACATAGAGAGCTGGTCCCAGATTCAGGCAGACTTGGATACAAATTCTACCTCTGTCATATACTGGTTGTGTCATCCTGGGCAGTCGCTTCAGTTCTCAGTGACTCAGGCAACTTTCCAGAGCTATAAAGTTTCAGGACACATTCTCATATAAATTGGTAAAGGACTTTTCTTCACCAGGAATTCTCTACTATACCAACAAAATTAAAGCTCAGAAATGTTCCTTCCCTCAAATGTACACAGCATTGTATTAAACCATAGGCATATGAGACAAAAGAAGAACAGTCACTGTCCTCAAGAAACTAACAATCTACTATAATAACAGCTTGAGTCCTGGACCACCTCATATCTTGAAGGCTCTTCTGATGATAAAGATTCATGATTCTGAACAATTAGTTTTTCAGGCTAAAAAAGAAACCCTCCCTCCACTTCATTCCTAAATTCTCTAGAGTAACCAAGATTCAGGGCCTTGTTGCTACCAGAGTGCTGCCTTGCCCACATATGGTACAATATTGGACCGAGCCTTTCATGGAATCCTAGACTATTAGAGCTACCAGGGCACTTGGATGTCATATGGTTTCTCCTCCTCCTTTTACAGATGAGGAAATTGATGCTCTAAGAGGTAAAATTACCCATTTAAGGTCATTAATGGTAGGACTGCTGTAGTAATTGATAAGTATAAAATTAGGCTTGGAGTAGGTAACTAATGACAGAGCTGGGGCATAATTCAGCAGAATCTTTGGCTCTGCTTTCCCTTATTGCAGCCATCTCCCCTCCCCCAAACTTTACACTCATATTTGCATATACTGGCAATACACCAATAGAATAGTTTAAAATTGAGCCATTCTCTCTATGTTCAAGGTAGGGAAATATTCAGGCCCAACGTTAGCAGGAAGGCATTGGGATTGTAAAGATAGAATTAGAGCCAGTATCTGAACTATATCTGATTACATAGCTGCTTCAAAAGATGTCATAATAAGGTCCTTTAAGAAATGAGACATGGAGACTTGAAAGCAACAGGATGAGAGTGGCTGCAGGAGGATTCTCTTATTTCCAGGGGATTTTTTTATTTTTTACCAAAGTCTAAGGCTTGATTTAATAAGATTCTTGGCTCGGAATTTGTCACTTCCTTTCATCTTAATAAGTATTAATCATAGTTTTCTTACTTCTAGGGGGACCATTGGGACCATAGCAGCACTGATCATCATTGGATGGTGTAGTCTATCTGCATCCAAAATCTTCAGTTCAGCACTGACTATGGAAGGACAGCAACTTCTAGTTGCCTACCCTTGTGCCTTACTTTATGGACTTTTTGCCCTCTTGACTGTTTTCTAATGTATTCGAAATAGTCTTATTGTGTGTTCTTTGTTTGAATGTCTAGTTTTTTAGAAAGGGATTAACCTACTTTAATGATATGAATTCTCCTTTACCTCTGAATAGATAATAGTAAATTGAGAAACAGAATGACATTTAAAAATGGTATAGAGTAGAAGCTTCTCTGGCTTGAAAAATAGTTTTGCTTCTCTGTTTGTGAAGTAAGATCTAAAAATAAAATGATTGTGAAATAAAATAACTCTTACAGAGTTTTTTTCCCCATAACTCTTCTTAAGCCGGGAATATAATTGGAGTACAGTTAAACCTTGCTTGACTCACTAGAAATATTCATAAAGAGTTGTGTGTTAAGTAAATATCACATGTACTAAGGGTATTTGCTTCTTAAAAGTGTTCTATGGAAAATTAATTGAGAAACTAAAGAAATTCTCAGCAGTATATGGTCACTTCTTAATCCAATGTGAACTTTTTTTAAAAAGGTGAGATACTTTTTAGTTTTCTTTATGCTGGTAGGTATAAAGTACAGGTATTATAGATGGTTATAAAAATAGGATAGAAAACTACCTTGGCCTTTCCTTTGTGCATATTAAGTGAACTCCTTAATTTGAAGGGAAAATAAGTTTCTATGAGTCTTCTTATTGACAACCAGTATTGCCTATTTCATTAGGCTCACATTAGAACCCAGACTATGCCCAGGAAAGTGGCTGCAGAATAAGAGGATGGCTACTGGTATACTTATCAATCATCTTATCAACACAGATTTATTGAATATCTATTATGTGCCAGGCTAACTAGGCATTTGAGACTTTCCTCATGGATTTTATATTCTAGAGGGGGAAACAACATATAAGTCCATAGAAAATAAGTACATAGAACATAAATTCAAGGTAATTTTTTTGGTAAAGCATTAATAGCTGGAGGGTTAGGGGATCAAAAAAGAACTCATATAGAAGGTAGCATTTGATCTGAGTTTAGAAAGAAATGAAGGATTCTAAGAAGTAGAGACAAGGAGGGGAGTGACACATTCATTCCTAACCAAAGCATTTTAAAGTCTCTGCTGAATGTGTTCTCACATTTCCGTAGGTTCCTCTTCCAGGTACCATATGAGGAAGAGTCAAAGAAAGTTCTTCATTATAGCAGTATTAAACCTGTGCCTGGAGGATTGGATAGGAAGAGACATCAAGTAGAACCTAAGATTTTCTCTAATACAGGAGGCAGAGAATTAGAACATCTCTGTGTATTCAGATGCTCACTCATAATTTCTATGTGTACTTTCCTTATGCCAGGAGGAGAATTGAATTGCTTGATTCTGAAGAAGCTTTTTGAAGGATCTATGGAAAAACATGGACAAGAATTGCAAAGGATTAGAAAGTGTGGCTGGGTTGCAATCTGCATTGAGAGAGGAAATACCCATATTGATGAGATTGCAAATTCACTGAAATACCAAATCATAATTAATTGGAGTATTTGGTTGTTAGTCTTTCCATATGAAAAGGGCATTGAATTAATTAATAATTCAAAGAAAAAATTTATTTTTCTTATGTTTCTTCTTTCCTCTTTCGTGGATCAGTCCTTGGGAGGCTATCATCTTGAGGCTCAGTGAATTGATTGTACTTTTTCTCCTGTTGATTGCTTTAAGTCCAAGAATTTTTTGCAAGGGGAAGTAGGGGAAGAAAAGGGTAGAGAGAAGCAGATACAGTAAGTTCTTTAAAAGGAGCATTTTGAAAAGAATTTTTGAGAAATTAGTTCAGAGTTTGAAAGTACTTTAAATCACCCACATTATCAAGCAAAAATGAGATAATTTTTGAAACTTAGAAAACTTTATTGAAATCATTAAGGAAGTGCCTATAAAAAAGTGAGCTTTTAAAGAAGCTCATTCAAAGATAAATAGAAGATTTTTGCTGCAAATGTGTTTTTCTAAATTAAAAAAGCTCAGATTATATCTTCAGGAATTCAAAAAGTACACTTATCTCAACTTTGGCATTTTTATTTTTTAAATAACTTTTTAGTGATATATTTTGTTTTTGCATTACCTTGATTTCTCTCTTACCACTCTCTTTCCTCCTAGAAAGCCATCCCTTATAACAAAAAAAAAATTTTAAAAGAAAAAAGAAGAGGAAAAAAAATCAGCAAAGCCTATATATATGTATGTATATATGTATATAAATCTGGAAATGTACACAGTGTCTCCACTTCTGCACATAAATGGGGAGAAGTGTCTTATACCTCTTCCTTGCAGACTTGCTTGGTCTTTGTAATTTCACAATATTCCCTTTTATTGGTTTGTGTGTATATGATTGTTCTTAACATTTACATGTTGTCGTCATTGTATATAGTGTTTTTCTGGCTTTCCTCATTTCACTTTGCGTGTGTTCGTCAAGTCTTTCCCATGCTTCTCTGTATTCATCCTATTCATTTTTCTTATAGTGCAGTAATATTCCATTACATTCACATATCACAATTTGGTTAACCATTCCCCAATTGGAGGGAATCTACTTTGTTTCCACTTCTTTTCTGCAACAAAAAGTGCTCCTATCCATATTTTGGTGTATTGAGCCTTACATTTTGTTAATGACCTCCCAGGGGAATATGCCTAGCAGGGGAATCCCTGAGTCAAAGGGTATAGTATCTTAGCTATTGTATTTGTCTGATTCCAAATTGCTTTCCAGAATTGTACTAATTCACAGGTCCATCAATTCATTAGAGTGTAGTTTATATATCTAGAACCACTCCAGAATAATTATTTTTCCCATCTTTTGTCATTTTTGCCGACATATATGAGGGGAGACCTCAGAGATCTTTTGATTTGTTCTATCGTTATTACTGATTTAGGCATTCTTTTATATATTTGTTAAGTGCAGTTCTTCTTTTGAGAACTGTTAGTCTATATATATTGATTATCTATTGAAGAATGGCTTTTGATTAAAGATTTCTTTTAGTTGTCTATATGTCTGGGGATACTAAGCCTTTACTGGAGATATTTAATATAAAGTTTTTCCCCCCAGTCAACCCCAAAGTCAACTTCCTTTCTAATCCTTGATGTATTGATTTTCTTTGTGCAAAAGCTTTTTTGTTTTATGTAATCAAAATTATCTATTATATCGTTTGGAATTTTCTCTATTCATTGTTTAGGAATTTTTCCCCTTTCTGTTGCTGTGGAAAGTATTTGTTATGCTTCTATTCTAATTTATTTTTGTGTGATATTTAATATTCAAGTCATGTTTATATTCTCTATTTATTGTGGGATATGGGGAAGTTGGTCTAAACCTAATTTTTGCTAGATTGCTTCCCACTTCTCCTAGCAGTTCTTATTAGATAGAGAGTATAGATAATTTATGTCTTTGGGTTTATTGAGCATTGGGTTATTGAGTTTACTTTTTTCTCATTCTCACTTGTCTAGTTTGTTCCAGTAATCAACCTTTCTATTTTGTCAGCCATTATCAAATGGTTTTGATAATTGTTACTTTATAATACTGTTTGAGTTCTGGAAATACTGTTCTTCATTCCTACCTTTCTATTGTCATTGTTTCTCTTCATATTCTATTTTTTTCCCCAAATGGATTTTGTTACTTTTTTCATCTAGCTCTATGAACTAGTTTGCCAGCTTGAGTGTTTTAGAACTGAATGTGTAATCAATTTTGGTACTATTGTCATTTTTATTATATTGGCACAGCCCTGACATGAGCACTGACCCACTGGTATAACATTGACTAGATGTGAAACTGAGTGAATTACAACTTCTCTGGGCCCCAGTTTCCTCATATATAAAGTTGGATCAGATAATCTTGCCAGCTCCCTTCTAGCTTTAAAATGATATTAAATTTTGTCTCCATAATAAATTAGATGCATATTTTACTATTGTAGATACATCTTGATCCTCTGCAAAATGATCTCTTTTCCAGTGGTCATAAAGGAGCCATTAGATATGAACATTTTGTATCCTGATTACCAGGTCTCAGTGTGGGCCAGCAGACAACTCTTGTTTCTTGTTAATCTTGGTATTTGGAGAGTCTCCTTGGCTGGTACAAATAAACTGTGCAGCTCCAGGAAAATATGGAATAGAGCTCCATCATCATTCAACTTCTCCTGTTGTCCATGCATGCAGTTTCTAGGCTCTGAAGTAATACAAACACATGACCCTAGATCCCACATAGATATCCAGAGGACACACCATACTCTTCAGAAGGAAAACTAAAGGACAAAATCCAGAAGCTGTAAATCAGTGGGGCACTGGCTACATGGTTTCTCTCAGCCCTCACCTGGTCTCTTTCTGTCTTACCACACATACTTTGCTTATTTATCCCTCAGTATGTGGGTATGTGTGTGTGTGTCTGTGGTGTGCGCATGAGCGCAAGCTTTCCAGGTTGTTTAAAGATGCACCAGCTTCATTTCCTGACTCTGAATCCCATAAATATCCTGGCTAACTGCAGGCCTGCATGAAAGCACCGACATTCCCCAGCTGTTCCCTGTAGGCCCAGGAGGTTTCTGTCCTGGGAGTGCAGTACTTGCCATCCCATCTGTGCTCTCTGAAGCTTCTAAGCCATGCACTGTGCTACTTGTTGGCATAAAGACCTTCCTTATGTCTATATTTGGTTTCTACTCAGATTTACTTTTCCACTTGACCAATGCCTGACAAGACTAATCAGTTTGATCTCTAGCACAAAAGAGATGGTGATGATGTATAAAAAGGAAACAATATTAAATCCTCACTTTTCTAATGTTTAGAGAAGGGCACAGGATTGACCTTTGGTTATGTTAAGCTCAATAGTGTCAAGGTTAGCTAGCACATGGATGGAAGCTCTATAGAGTCCAGGTCTGTCCAAAATTTCTTGCAATTTTAGCACTCTGTTGAGATTCTTGTTCCTATTGTTTTGTTCCTTACAATCAGTAATTAATGAACAATGTCTACTTTGTGCAATGCACTGTGCTCGCTACCAAGAGAGATACTAAAACAAATAAGAAATAGTTCCTATCTTACAAACTTTTAAGTTTACAAAATGTTTTGCTTTTATACCCTGTATGAGGTAGGTTGTATAAACATTAGTATCACCGCAGAATAGAATACTGGGATTCAGAGAGGTCAAATAATTTGTCCACAGTAAGGCAGTTTGTATTAGAGCCAGAACTTAAATGTGAATCTTCTTATCAAAAGTTGAGGGCTCTTTTGCTGCCATGGAGGGAGAGATGGGGGGAGGGAACGAGGGAGGGAAGGAAAAAGAAAGAGAGAGAGAAAATTTC